TCTCTATCCCTAAAATTGGATTACAATCAAAGTGGTTCTTCGACGAAAGACTTACCAAACGAAGAAATGACGAAGAAGAGGAATAGTCTTCGAGGAACAGACGGGACGCCGGCGATTTGCAATATTTGAGGACGATGGCCTTCTTCAAAGAGAGGAATAGGTTTTTGGCAAAGAGAAAGAGGGCAAAATTGGATTTAGACCACAATCTGTTGCAACATTATACAAGTTACAAACATATCAAAGTAAACCAAACATATTTATGATTGTATCCTTTACTTAATATGGGCCTAAAAAATGCAACCAAACATTGTAGTGAGGGAGATAGAAACCGTTAGATAAGGTCTCCCTAGCATTATTGATACTATCAAGCCCAATATTTTTTTGCAACCAAACGGGCACTTATTATATAATAATAGATATTAATGGCTATGTTACCAAAATAGCCAAAACATAAAAAAATATATAAAAAAGTGAAGGACTACTTTTTCTAACTTTTAAACTAAATTTGCACCACTAATTAACAATACTTCATTTACAACTTTCTCATAAAATTAATTATGACTATCATGATGATAATGTTTAAAAGTCTTTATAGTTGTAAAATTATATACATCACAGATAAAATAAATTAATATTTTTAGTATCCCAATGGTTGCACAAAATACGAGGCTTACTATTATATTTGTAGGCCGTTTTATATATTGGAAAAATATGAAAATGTGATGTTATCATTATTGATGAATAGTTTATAATAAATATGTAAGAGTTTATACTAATTGTGATAATTATAAGCGTGCAACACAAGTACCATTTCAAATGAAACTATTAATAATAATTTCTAACAAGTATTCAAATACTTAAATCAAAATTTTAATTAAATATTGGCTCAACAGTCGTGTAAATCAATGTTTATTCTGAAAAGTGTTAAAAGACAATAGACGCATCCGACAAAATCTTGTAAGCAACTTCGAAATAGCTCTATTTAATTATAACAATGATCTAAGTAGACCGTTTATTTATTTAATTATATCGTGGATTTATTTATTTATTTGAGATAATATATTGATTTGCCTTAGTCTAATTTTTGGGAGATTCTACGGTTTCTGTTACGAAATTATTCCATCAAAATTTCTAGCCGTTAGATCAATTATCCACGACGATTACATAATGATCCATTGATTATAAATTCCGACGGAATAGTTCTATAAGTAGACTGTAGCATTTCCTTTTTAATTATTAATGAAATTTTTTTGAACAACACTTGCCAACGTGATAGAATTTTTTATTTTTTTTAGGAAGATTCTATGTTCATTTCCACGTTTAATATCTGGTGAGAATAAAATAACAATCATGAATTTGACTTTAGGAAACACGAAATGACATTTTTTTTTTTTTTTT